AATGAATGGAATAACGATCACAACAAGTAAAAAAGGCAACAACGCTATTGCTTTGTAATTGACGATAACGCCAAATCATCAGAATACTGTAAATGATAACAATTAGCGGTAAAGTGATGATAAAGTGATGTTTTATGAGTTTTATGTGCACAACAAGTTCTTTGTTTCCTGGGGAATTTCTGTCTTCGTCCGTTATCCCTATTAGAATTACTCATAGTTGTAAGTTATTAAGTGTAAGATAATAGATGATGATAGGGTAAGATAAAAAGTGATAAATGATTAGAGGCTGCAGAGTGAGAGAAATCGATCGAGAATGAGCTTGGGTGCTATAAACGGTTGGAATCGAGCAGCATGATAAATTTTAAAACGATGTGGTGCCAAAAATGATAAAAACTGATAGGAAGTGATAATAAGTGATAAAGGAGGAGAATTGGAAGTGATGCAATAGTTATTGGTTGCATCTAAAGTCGCTCATAGCCATCTATCATTTGAAATTTCTCTTGAATCTACACGAACCAGTCTTTTCAAAACAACCAGGTTTTTGGATTTTATTGATGATTTGAATTGAATTTTTGTGATTCCGGCCAAAAACTTCATATCATATTACAGTCGATCGCACGAGTTCGCCGAGAAATTGGTCTTTTTCAACCCATTCTGGGAGCGCCTATTCTAACAGTCACAGGAAACCAGTCTTTGTGATAATCAGCGGCTGGACTTTGGTGTGTTGAAAAAACAAAAAAGGGTAATTCAAGTGAAAACCAAAATGAAAAACATAAATATTGATCAACTCACCCTTCGTCGCCTTTTGCCAGCAATCTCGGCACAGTTCATCCGGGTACATGCCTCCAGTTCACGTAGATAGCTTTTCTGATCATCTGCAAAATTCTATACAGTAATGGATCAATGAAATCGAATAAACAATCAACAAAATTTTGGGAAATCAAAATCTTGGAAGAAGTTATTAAACAGAGACCATAAAAGGCCACTTTGAGAAGTTTTTGGTCAGGTACAGGCCAAAATAAATCCATTCTTGATTAATTTTCTTTTGCTCATGCCCGGAGGTACCCTGAAGGTTCTCAAATTTAGTAGTTTTAGTGCGTTTTGTAAGAAAATTTCGTGAAAAATCGATAGGATCGACGAATAGAGCGATTTTTGATCATTCTCCTAGAAAAATTACTCAGAAGTTGTTTATCGTGCTATTTTAAGAGAAGGCTGTTGAAACGAGCGATAAACCCACATTCCCAGTACTTAACTTTCACCCTCTCGACCTCCTACTTTATTGCCGGTAACCAGTATTTCACCCGACTTCAATAAAACAGGTCTTACCCGAAAAACTTGCACAATATTGAAAAATAACCTCATTCTAACGCAACACAATCAAAAATCCTTCCCCACCCCACTTTCCCCGAGTTCCTCTGCATGTCTCCCCTATAGGTAGGTTACAGAACGGGTGAATCTTCATTGAATCACATACCCGTTGTTTCGTCAAGGGACGTCTTCGACAGCACCGCTTCGCTATCCTTGATCCATTGTTCTCGATGATGACAGATCAGGTCGAGTTGCTGAACGGTTAGAAAGCCCGACACAGGCAGCTGATGACATGGACGGTTACGTAGCGGTGATAGCTCGGAAGGGGTTCGACACAGTACCAATGGTACGGTAATGAGCCAAATTACAGTGTGAATAGTATCTGGATAGCTTTTCATCTGGCCACACGGAACATGAAGAAGATCCAATTGGAAGTGAGTTTGGGTGGATGGCTTGCTTCAGTCTTAACAATGATAGCGATGATTTCGTTAAGGGTTTCAATGAGTTTCGATGAGATAACTGGTGAATAGTGCACGATGTCGAGAGAGAACACGACGTTTTTGGTGACCCGATAGGATGCTGGGCGTGGCCGGGCGACCATGTAAACGGGTTAGCGCCCCCACCTCCTGGTGGGTGATGATGGTTGTGGCTGTATCAGCACGCACACAGCTCGCGCCGCCAACGTAGACGACAGCCACAGCCGCAGTCAGCAGCAGCAGCGGACGCGAACGTAGTGGTCACCGAGAAGTCAGTTATCCCGGAACGCCGCTAGCATCCCGAAAGGATAGCAGCGTTTGCAAACGCGCAGTGTAGCCCGAAAACTTTCTAGACAGTGCCAGAAGGGAAAAGCCAGCGGATAAACAATGATACAATGATTGTTGCCCTCCTGGAACCCTTTTCATACATAAAATTCACCTTGATAATTTTCAATCGCCCGAGGATTTANCGTAATCACCGACTGGAAAACTCGGGCGGTTCAGGATCAGAACCTGCTCAAGTCAAGGGAGCCTCTGATTCCCTCTGGTCGGGTACCTTATGTTCCAAGAGAAGGATGAAAGGATAAAGTCTTCTGGGGTTAAGCAATCTCATCTTAGGGATGCTCCCCCGCCTTCGACTGCCATTCAGAATCCTTGTAGCGCCTTGAATTTGTGTGGCCTTTACAATGGCTTGCGGTGTCCAGCCGATGTACAAGTCCATGCTTTTTCCTTTCAGACGAGTCTGGAACCGTTAAAAGACCCCGGAGGAATGGAAGGGTTGGTTGGCCTAGGAGGATGTCGATCCGATATATTCAAGAGAAGAATCGGAAATAATAATCCTATTTCGGGTAGCTTTAAAACTATCGTGAGAAGCCTTGCGCCTTCAAACATCTAAGCGATATTCGGGAAAGGAGCGTGCGTGGCGCATAATGTGAAACATTCCGCAAAGTCTCCTGGACATAGTGCGTCGAGTAGAGGCTTTGGTTTCTGATTTTATTCATCTGTTTATGTCAATGAAAAGTGCAATGAGGTGGAGACCAAACAGCGGCAAAAGTGATGGTGGTGGTAAATCAGCGGTTGGTGTTTTTGTACAGACTCGCTTTGGAGCATGAAGATTTTGAATAATGTAAAAGATCGTCAGACAGCATAGAAGAGGAACTCGGGCGAGGTTTCAATTGTCCCATTTGTCGCAGTTGCATAAAAAAGAAGAGGGATTCGGACGAGATTTTACAAGTCGCGACTGCGGGAAGAACTGATTACATCGAGCCAAAGAGGTTCGAAACTGCCTACCACTGTCGCCATGGGTCACGATTACTTGTTTGAATTTTTATCCTGGGAGTGCTGTTTGAATGGTGCAGCGCAACGCCGTAGAAACTCGTCCACGTTAGGGTGTGGCAAGCAGCCTGCACAACCTTTGAACCCTTGGAACGCTCTATCCACGCCTTTTTCCGATAAGACAGCGCCATATACGGTACAAGGGAGGGGATGGCCATAGACTCACCCTAGAGGAATATATCAGAACCCATTTGTATCGTGAAAGTGCCTCGAAATAGTCCTGTGGACTTGAGTAGGAGTAGCTGCGTAGCTCAGTCCAAAACAAGGTATCCTAATCATTAATTCCGTTTTNGGAGCAGATTGCCACAGACTCATCCTAGAGGAGTATGTCAGAACCCATTTCTATCGTGGAAGTACCTCGAAATAGTCCTGTGGACTTGAGTAGGAGTAGCTGCGTAGCTCAGTCCAAAACAAGGTATCCTAATCATTAATTCCGTTTTGAATATTTTCCTCAAACCTCGAAGATCGGCAGTTTCGACAAGGAACGTCTGGCAGGGAAGGAACAAGCAGGACAAGTTGCTGTTGACTTGAATATTCCACTTCATTCCCTTCTATTTTTGCAAAGATCAGCAAATTTCGACGAACGACATCCACAAAGAAATGAACACGACTTACTGTGGTCTCGTTCTCGGTAACATACTAATTAGCTCGTATCACAACCAATGAAAAACTTCCCATGGTGCAAACAAAGTTGGTGGGAACGGTTCAATCCATGCAGCAAATCGCATTATGAAAAACTTGTTTCGTCCATGTTCAGGAGAAAAACAAGTAGACTTAGAGGCAACATGCCTTTCTTCGGCTTCGAGTAAGATCCGTAGAAACCTTACTTCGAAAGAATCTCGGCATCGACGACAAACTACAGTAGCAATTCGGGTTGGATGTAGAACAGTGCCAAGTGGCGCATTACCATACGCATGGTCTCTGCCTCGATACCCGCCCAGGACGATCGAACAGTCTATCTCTCAGGAGCCAATTAGTTGGTAGCAGACTCTTCTGGAATAATAAAGGCATCGATATGCCTGTTAGCTAGCCACCGCAAATCAATGTACAGGCCACATACGCTTTCTTCAAACCACAACGATTCTGAATGAAAGTTGGATGCGGGGCGCATTCCAAATCGGAACTGATCAACGTCAAAGACTTTATCCACTAATCTGGACGCTTCTCCAAGCGCCACAACGCTACCTAGTGGACTCTTTTGCCATTTTTGCACCTTGTCGAGTCAAATTCAAAAAGGGATTTTCGCAAAAGGTTGTCTAAACTAATAGAAAGGAGGATCTGGTCGTTGGGATCGTGACGGCGTGATAAATAGCCCGGTCTGCCCATGAATACCAAACGGATGGGATCATGTTCTTGGATAAGCGCATTTGACGTTCGCCTATCCTTTTTCCGGGAGTGCGCCATGTATTTGATTCTCAATGGAAATCCAAACGCTCTTGCATTTCCCTATGTGAAAAACACTGTATTCATCCTTTCAAAAGAGGCTGAAAGTCAATAGGTGATGTCAAAAGGGTGAAAAATTCCACAGATTAGAAGGATTCGATCCGTTGGTCTACCGTGAAGTGGTAATTTCGCCATTTGTCACTGCATCGCTCTCAGCAACACCTTATGGGATGACAGAAGTGGTTTTCAACATCTCCCTATCGGCCAGTCACCCATGCCTAACCAAGGAGCCCCGAAACTGGCCCAATTAACAAAATGGTATAAGAACCAGAAAGGAGTTCCCAAGGTGAACGGTCACGTTTACGAACCAGAAATAGTCATCGAACCGTTCACATAAGGAATGTTTCTAATAAAGGTTGGCTTTGTGATTCTTGATGAATTGCGAAAAAACTCATTCACAACATCTTCGAAAGACGTCAAAACTCAGAAATGTTTGGAAATAAAAGAAGATCATGTCTTCTGAAGGGAGGGTCGAGTGAAATTTCATGTACCTTCACTGACTTACAGAGCAAAGTTTAATTCAAAGTGGCGACGGAATCAACTAAATCCAAAGTAATCTTGAAACTTATGGTCTTCTGATCTAACCATTACTATGATCGGGCAAAAGGGTGTTTGGACAAGATTTCAGTCGCTGCCCAATTACGTGTATTAGTTATTAGCGTATATCAACCGGGTATTTGCATTTACAACAAACGTGCTACATTCCGAATAATATCAACCTCTAGAAGGTCGGCAGCACGTAGCGACATCCTGATTTTTCCAGTTTCTGAGCCCTTAGTGCGTCCTACCAAGACCGCTACTGGACCCGACAATGTTACATGTGCCCTTCTCTTCACGTAAATTCTGGACTTCCATCAATGTGAAAGCTCCGAAACCATTTGTATCGCGAATTGCGTCTTGAAGCAAAGAACGACTATGCTCAGTAGAGCTGTCAACTTTATTATAACTGACATTATTGTTCCCAAACGCAACACTTAAGATTACTCTTAACATTAGGCGTAAGTAATGGAAATAGGAAGATGGTCTTGCTAATTAGGGACCATCTTGCTTGGTTAGCTGGTTCAGCTTCGGTTTTAAGCTCTAGCTAGTAATATAATATTACAGCTCAAAGTTAAGACCAGTTAATCGAATTTAGGTAAAAACATAAACCAAAAACAATGAAATTGTGAACTGGTAACTAAAGAGTAACTTACCAATTGCTCTCACACTGACGTCGCTACCAATTATATCTTCGCAATTTCGTCGATATGTGACGGTTCCTAAATTGATAAGGTTGACATCATTGTGTCTTTTTTTACTCGTAACGGGAAACCGGTTACAACTTTGTGCGAAACGTATATAGCCCTATAAATGGATGAGCGCACACGCGCGTAAAATCAATATGCATCGCTCATCACTCAATGTTCATCTCTCAACGAGATTAGGACTCTCAGAATTTTCAAGGATTTCTGGCGCTTTCTCCAACTTTTTCCCATCCATTCTCGATATTGTACCAAGGAACTTTCCCGGTTATTACTGCTGAGGCATAAGAAGAAGGAAAAATTGCTGAATGATCATCGACTTGTTTGGGAGGTACCCACAGGGCGTTCATCTCCCCTACATGTCTACCAGAGAATATGGTATTTGTTCCCTGATATTACTGACACTGGGATTCAGCCCATATCCAGATCGGCCGTACACGAAATTGGGACCAATTAGCCTTTTCTGAAGGGAGGGAATGCTCCATTGGCCCAAAATGGTTTGAAACTCTGAAATCATCTATTTTCAGCCGTTGCCTTGCTATCTGTGGTGAGACCTTTGAAACGAACCAACCCTAAAAACCTCCTTTTCGAGGTCTCCCCGATGACAAAACGCCTCGTACGTGAGTTGTGATACAAAGGCCTTTTCCTATTTGGATTGTTCAACGTAACTCTGAACCAGTTTTCATTCAATGCTTAGTCATCCCACAAAACAATCGCAGCTGTTAAAATGATAGCGGCATTCAGTAGAAAGAACATCTCGAAAAGAAGAATTGCCCTAATGAGTGCTGTAAAACTCTGGAAATTCTTCAGATAGTCATGCCAAAATGACTAACGCTTAGGTAACACCACGACTACTGATGCTGTATAGCACAGGGATGATTCGCAAATAAGAAGAATGAATGA